TCTTTTCTCTAGCTATTGCTGACCTTTCACCTGGGCTACTGTTCTCATGTAGGTAAATCCTCGTCTCAGAATCTAACGCCTGCCTTTGGGAAATGTGATAGACATCGATCTGCGTGTGTCGTGCGCGCAGAAGAAGGCTTTAGGCAAAGTCAGTTACCGCGCTCATGCCCGCCTTGGGTGGTCTTGTGTCTGAAACCTGATGAATGAGCGGCAAATTTAGATCGCTGCTGCTCAAGTCTCACACACTGCAAGTGAACTTGCGTTAATATTAATGAGGCAAGGCAGATAAGTGGTGATTGTCCTCTACCCAGAAAAAATAGTGCAAGGCTACCAGTCCTGCATACATCATAAAGTATTAATCTGCTACCTATCACATGTGTGTCTAGCACACTGCAAATGTTTATGTTGGTTATAACGCCATAATTGGCCTTTCGTAAGTCCGCGAATACTCGCTAGGTCTGTTTTTCGCGCTCACAGGTTTCAACGTACGAACCATTCATCCATTTATTTTCTTTTAGCGATGTCGGCATTTATGACAGAATCGTCATTCAAGAACTGATAAAGAACATGGCCTCTACTGCGCAACTCGAAAGTGTTCATCAAAGAGAATTCAAAGTCGTGGTAATTCACGAAGTTGACAGGCTGACTCGGGATGCCCAACATTCCCTTCGAAGAACCATGGAAAAGTACATGCAGACATGTCGTCTTATTTTATGTGCTGAGTCGCTTTCCAAGGTAAGTCTTTTTATCCTTCAACCTCGCAACATTTTTTTAAAATTTCACGTACTTGTGACCATTTTTTTCTGGAAGGTTACCCCCATTTACGTTTAACCAAATCTGTGTCAAAACTTATTACACAGCCTGTAAAAATCCAGGTAATCGGTTGAGTTCAGTAGGTTTCTCGTGTTTCCAGTCATCGCGTACGATAAAATATTTTAATCTCCAAGGTGTGAAGGGATTGGTTTTTGCGACCTTTCTGCTTTCCTAACTACTTTATGTTCATATTATGCTTATTAAGTGAATTGCTGTGTTCCTTAGTACATGTTTATCCATGATGTAACTTATTGCAATTCCGTTTTACACGCGGCATTCCGAAAGGGCTACTTCCTTGCATTCATAGCGCGCTTGCTTGTGTTTTCATAAACTTCCACTGTTATTGTTACGGGTAATTTAAATTTTCACGCATCAATGATCTGCGCATGTAATCTAATGGAAGCGCCATAGACTAACTGTAAGCCGGAGGTAATTAGTGTGCTTTTACCCTATGGTGAGTCTCATTCGCTTTGTCAGTCAAATCTGCGACAGTACTTCGACTGTATAGTCCGCAATTGGTTTGGCAGACAAGTATCTGTTATCAAAAACGCAACACCGTCTTTCGAGATTGATTTGCTAATTTTGATGTCCTCTGCTTGTCTCACACTATCCTACCAAGGGACTAAAATATTGATTTCCTGTGTCTTCATCTGATTTGAGCTAACATCAGTGAATGACCAACGATACATTCACTCTATAAACTACGTTAATCTCTCTGATACATAAACACGGTTTTTAATTTTCTACAGGGTGTTGTACTATAATCTTCTTTGGTACACTAAATAAATTTTTTGGACGAGGTAAACAGCGATTGATACTCCCAAGAATTACCCGTCTCCGCTTATTCTTTCCACGATTTTAAAATTCTAGTGTCCAATAAAACGTTTACAAACCTCGTCATATGCCTTAGGCTCTTCAAACTAAGTTAAATCATCTATCATATGTATTGATTCTTTCAAAAGTTCTAATATCCTTTCGCCGAAGATAGGACATAAATCCTCTCAAAGACAAGTTCCATTGACATCGGTAGACCATCGTTTTTCATAAGCTACTCGCTGTCCTTTCCTAGATGTACCAAATTTCAATCATAAGTGTGCGTCTTATTGACTCTGCCTTGACACCAAACCCAGGTGGAGGAGTGGAGCAGGGATTGTGGTTGATGCATCTAAAGTCACTATCCATGCACCGCCCTGTTGTGGAGCACATGGTGGACGTAGTTGAAACTGGCGATCAAACGGCATTATATACAACTGGAATCTGCTGTCTTGATAATCATCTGCTTTTGTAAATCCATGTGTGTCTAGACCAAAGTTCCGAACCTCTTTCCTAGTTTCTCTACTATGAAACGATTACCCTTTCAAATTACAAGATGTCGTATGCGGTTCTG